CGCGGGCGACAAGTTCTTTTCCGACAATGCCCGCTCCATTGTGTCCGGTCTGTTATTGTATCTGGCGGCGCTGCAGTTTGATTATACGGAAGATACTGAACTGCTGGAAGACGGCGATCTGCAGCCTGAACCGCCGCCAGGCTGCACCCTCAAAACGTTGTGGCAATGGGTACGCCTGCCGAAAAAAGACTGGCAAAAGCTGTTGGAAGATATGGACGCGTTTTCCGGGCCGTTCTTTAAAGAAGCCGTGCGCCAGTCTGCCAATGAAATCATCAAACTATCAGAAGCCGGAGACCGCACCTGGGGCGCGATTATCGCCACGGTGCTGCAATGCACGGATTTTATCAAGTCTCCGGCTCTTCAGCAATCACTGGAAAGCGGTTTCAACCCGTACCGCCTGGCTGACGGCAATACGGCCCTGTACATCATCATCCCGGCGGACAAATTGCAAAGCCATGCACGATGGCTGCGGCTGGTCACCACCACCACGATGCGGGCTGTGGTGCGTAAGCCAAACAAGCGCGTGACATTCCTGCTGGACGAATTCAGCGCCCTGGGCTATCTGCCGGAGATCGAAACCGCCCTTTCCACCTATGCCGGGTTTGAGATCACCGTATGGCCCATTCTGCAATCCCTCAGCCAGTTGAAAGCGCATTACAAGGACAGCTGGGAGACGTTTGTCGGGAATTCCACCATCAGGCATTTTTTCAGCGTCAACGACAATTTCACCGCCGATTACGTCAGCAAGGCCGCCGGGATGCGCTCGTACGTGATCACCAAAAGCCAGGGCAACATCGAGGAAGCCCAAAGCAACCAACGCCCCCTCATCACCCCCGACGAGCTGCGCCGCCTGTCAGGCGATAATATATTCACATTCATGGGCGCGAAACCCATCACGTATTTTGAGAAGATGCCTTATTACGAGATTTCAGAATTAAAGAATAGGGCGGATAAAAATCCTTATATAAAGTAAAAATAAAGTAACTTTTTAAATTATATTAATGAAGACAGAAATTGAGTATTTTCTTGAAGATGGACAAGCAATTTAGTTGAAGTTGACCGTCAAGATTCTAAGGTATCACAAGCGGAAATACGCTGCCCCACAGCGTTTTAAAGTTTGAGTTTCTTATTGAAGAAATAGAAAATAGTTATAAAGATAAGCAGTTATACAGCTACGAATGTTTCCTGCGCATTCTACACGATAACATTAAAGTGATAAAATCCAGGACTGGAAGGATCAGGAGAGGCGGGAATTCGGTAAGTGTAATTGGAAAATAAGAGTTAACGTTAATTGCCGTTTAAAAAGGTAAAGCAGCGATGACAAGACTATTGACTGTAAAGTAGTAACAATTAAATTGTAGTGAATTCAATAAAACTTTTTATGAACAAAAAAGACGTTAGTACTATAGCTCCAGATGCAGATAACAAAGGTGAAAAATCCGAATTAAGAACTTGGATAGTTTCTGTAGGATGGTTAGGTTGGCTTGCAATAGGTATAGTTTGCATCGGCTTAAAAACCTATATGCACAAAGGTCATATTTCTATACACGGGACACCTACTGGTAAGTCAATATTTGATGCGTTAAAAGAATTTTCTGCCGATTTTTTAGGAGAATTAGGAGTGGCAGTTTTTGTGTTTGCTACAGTATCTGTAACTATCGAATATTTTACTAGAGCCCGTATTGAAAATGAAGATAAAAAACGAATAGAGAAATATGATCGTAAATTTGACGAGTTAATTGCTCGTCATCAATCTGATAAAAGCGAAATAAAAGCTGAACTTTTTAAATCAGTTTTTGGGATAGCTGTTGATAAATCTGTTGTAGATGGTGTTATTGACACTTTGTTTAGAGAAAACTTCTTTAGAACTAACTTAAAAGTTGAATATATCTTTGATTGCCTTGAAGATCATCCTAACATCCTGAAGTGTAGGGAAATTTTAAGATTTAGAAATCACAACAATGGAAATCAGGAAAGTATTTTAGATCTAGGATATTCGTCTGAAAATATCTTTACATATGAGCAACTTCACGATAATATTATTGGTGTACAAGTTCTTAATTCAAAGGGTGAGCGGATAGTAAAAGTTGACGGTAATGAAACAAATATATTAAGGAACGGAATTTCAACTACATTGACGGGAGACGATTTAAAAGTAAGTGTTCCGCCTCGCGATTATGTTGATGTCTATTTTGAGAACATTACGTACCGTCGTTGCTGTGATAGACTATCATTTATTTCTCTTTCGGCAGCGG